CTCTCTCTCAAATAAATAAATAAAATCTTTAAAAAAAAAAAAAAGACTGTTGAATCACAGATCTGTACCTCTGAAACAAATAATACAGTATATGTTAAAAAAAAAGAAAAATGAAGAAGAAGAAGAAAAGAAGAAGAAAAAGAAGAAGAAGAAGGAGAAGAAGAAGGAGAAGAAGAAGGAGAAGAAGAAGAAGGAGAAGAAGGAGAAGAAGATAACAGGAGGGGAAGAATGAAGGGGGGGAAATTGGATGGGGAGATGAACCATGAGAGACTATGGACTCTGAAAAACAAACTGAGGGTTCTAGAGGGGTATGGGGTGGGAGGATGGGTTAGCCTGGTGATGGGTATTAAAGAGGGCACGTTCTGCATGGAGCACTGGGTGTTATGAATCATGGAACACTACATCAAAAACTAATGATGTAATGTGTGGTGATTAACATAACATAATAAAAAAAATAAAGCTAAAGTGAATCTCTTATAGGCAGCATATTCTTAAATCTTTTTTTTTTTTTAAAGATTTTATTTATTTGAGAGAGAGAATGAGAGAGAGAGAGAGCATGAGAGGGGGAGGGTCAGAGGGAGAAGCAGACTCCCTGCTGAGCAGGGAGCCCGATGTTCGACTCGATCCCGAGACTCCAGGATCATGACCTGAGCCAAAGGCAGTCGCTTAACCAACTGAGCCACCCAGGTGCCCCAGATCTTATTTTTTTTTTACCCATTCAGCTATTCTGTGTCTTTTGATTAAAGAATTTAATTATTTTATGATTAAAGGAATTATTTATTACTATTGCCATTTAATTTTATTTATATGTTTCTTGTTTCTTATCTTGCTGTCTTTTGTTGTTTGACGACTTTTTGTAGGGATATGCTTTGATTCCTTTGATTCCTATTTTGTAACTTTGTTTTTTAATTTTTATATATATTTTTAAAGACTTTATTTATTCATTTGTCAGAGAGAGAGACAGCACAAGCAGGGGAAGTGGGCTCAGGGAGAGGGAGAAGCAGGCTTGCAGGACCCTGGCATCATGACCTGAGCGAAGGCAGACACTTAACTGACTGAGTCACCCAGGCGCCCCTCATAACTTTTGCTTATCTCTTTTGGTTTTTCCTTTGTAATTGTGTAAAGGATTACATAAAATATCTTATTTTTATAACATCCTATTTTAAGCTGATGGCAACTTATTGATAGCATACATAAATTTATCCTTACATTTATCTGTCCTTCACATTTTAGGTAATTGATATTATAATTTACCTATTTTTAAATATTGTTTAACCAATAACAAGTTATGGTGGTTTTGTTTATTTTATACATTTTCTAACCTTTTAACTAGAGTTCTAGGTAATTATGGACCACCATAACAATATTAGAGACTATCACCTTGACAATATGGTGGCCATTACCAATGAGTTTTGCAAACACTTTCTTTTGCTTTCACAATGTTAATTATGATCACTTACGTCTGCTTCATGGATATTCTTTAGCATATTGGGGGAGGCAGGTCTACTGGTTATGAACTCAACTATTGTTTGTTATGTTTTTCTCTCTCCATTTCAGAATAATAGCTTTGCTGGGTATCCTATTCTTGGTTGGCACTTTTTATCTTACACATTTGACTCTATCATCCTTCTTTCTTCTGCAAAGTTTCTGTTGAGAAATACACCTTAAGTCTTTTGGGAGGACTCCCCATGTGTGATGACTCACATTTCTCTTGCTGCTTTCACAATTCCCTCTGCATTTCAGTTTTGGCAAGGTGTGTTGGTATAGCCCTATCTTGTTTAACCAGTTTGGGGGCCTTGGAGCCTCATGAATTTGGATTTCCATTTCTCTCTCCACATTTGATAAGTTTTCAGCCATTTAGCTTTAAATATCCTTTCTGTATCTTTCTCTTTCTCTTCTCACTCTGGGATTCTAAAACATTGTTTCTGTTGATGATGTCCCATTGTATTTCTTTGCTCCTTTTAAGTCCTTTTTTCTTTTTGTTTTTCCAATGGGATGATTTCAAATGACCTATCCTTAAAGCACTGGGATATTAAGTAAACTACCCAAGAGATTAAAACAGTCAGTGAGTGGGGAAACAGGTTGTATTCATATTTCAAAGACGCTTTGGGCTTTTTTCAAAGAGCAAAATTTGGACCAAATCCCATGCATCCAGGTCCTTCATGACAGATGAAGACCAACCTGCAGGGAGTGGGAGGCATCCATGTCTGCATCTGTAGACAGCAAGGTCCTTTATCCTGACAAGAACACTACAGATACATCTCATACAGTGGACTGATGCTGTAACAAACTCTCTTGTTGATCACCAACAATTCTAACTCCTTTGACCATATATCAAGACTCTATATATGTCCAATTCAGTACACAAAGGGCTCCTAACAGTCTTGGGTTTGGGGGGCTTTAGAGGCTGGACTATGGGGGTGGGAGTGACAAAGTAGGTCTGCAGAGTGCCTCGGCAGAGGGAGAGATCAATGGCAGCATCCTGGAGGGTGGGTGGGAGTATACGGTTGGGGGGTGTTGGCACTCTGAGCAGCAGCTGTTGAGGGGGAAGCATCCCTGGTTGGGTGGAAGGCAGGGCAACTGCCTGCAGAGGGGCTTCACTGGGGTGAAGTTGAAGCACCAACCCTGTAGGGAAGAGAATAGAGAGAAGGTCATCAAGAAGGCATTGGAGATGGAACCAGAATGCTTTGGTGTCCTTGGCTCAAGGGGGTTCCGCCTCATGACCCATCAAGACCAACATGGTAGGACCTTGTTGATACCCTTCCTCTCCCTGGGTGCTGGCCTCCAGGCTGGGCTGCTATTTCAAGACTCATTTCAGGTGTTGGAAATCTTCCCTGCCTCCCCCAGGCAGCCCCAGTGTTCTGACTTTGGACTCCTTCTGTTCTGGTTTTGAACTTGTCTGCTTCCCCTTGGACTGGGAGCCTCAGGAATGAGAACAAAGCCTGACAGCTGAGGAGCACAAGCCTTGCCCAGGTTCTTTCAGCGATTGTGTGCTGAAGGGTTGAGTTCTCACCACAACCGTGAGGCCAGGTTCTGGGCCCCCAGGGCAAGGGAAGCTGGGGGCACCCTCAGGTGGGCGATGGGCTGTGGAGGCAGCAGTCAACCTGAACTCCTTGGCTTGGGATGAGAACAATACAGATGCTTCAGGACAGTAAAGTCTGCCCCTAGTTTACTCTCATCCCCTCCTGCCCCTAGCCCTGAATCAGCTGAGAACTCCCAGCTGAAAGGCTCAGATAAGCCAGGGAGGGGGGCCTGGGCACGCTGGCCTCTGACAGCATCTCTGGCCCCTCTAGCTCCAGGAGATACAGACAGTGGATAAGAAAGGGACTGCATTTTCCACAGGCAGCAAACCTGAGAGGAGGGAGACCATGTTGGCCTTTCCCAGACCCCCAGCTCCCTTCCAGGGAGCAGTTCTTCTAGGACCACAGGGTCTGGCTTTAATTCAAACAAACCTACTGGCACAACAAGGCAACCACAATTTTAGGAACACTGACTGGGTAAAGCCCCTGTGCATGGCCCTTCCTTAGTGTGGTCCTTGCACACCCCCACACACCATGCACACTTGCACCTCCAAGTCCCCATGACCTTCTGCTCATTATGTGCCACATGAAATGCAAAGTGCCTGATAGGACAGTCCCTGCTCTCAAAGGAGCTTCTAGGTCATTGGCTTGCTGTAGTCACTTGAATAACAGCCCTGACAGATATCCAGGTCCTGGTCTTTGGAACCTGTGGCTGTTTTGGGTTACACTGGAAAAGGACCTTTGAGATGTGATTAAGTTAAGGACCTTGAGATGAGGAGATTATCCTGGGTTATCTGGATGGGCCCACAGGTGAGCACAGGTTCCTATGAGAGGGAGACCTACCCACAGAAGAGGAGAAGGTGATGGGAGGGGTGAAACAGGGAGATTCAAGGTGCTGCTCTGCTGGCATATGGATGGAAGAAGGGGTCAGGAGCCAGAGAACCCTAGGACTGCAGTTCCGGAAGTGGAAAAGGCAGGAAAGGGATTGTCTACAGTCAGACCCTCCAGAAGGAGCGCGGTCCTGGTGAGAACTGGATTTCTGCTCAGGAAAACGGTTTCACACTTCCAGCCTCCAGAGCTGTGAGGACTCCAGGACTGAAAACTTGTGGTTTTCAGCTGCTAAGTTTGTGACACTTTGTTACAGCAGCCACAGGAAAGTAGCACCCTTGCCCACCAGAGGACCGACAGTAAAAACATAGCCATTCACAACACTGGAGGAAAGAACAGACTGAGCCCGCAGAGCACAGCCCCGTTCGGGGTTCAGGGTTCGTGCTGAGTGTTCAGATCCTGCACACCATTCCCTGCCAGCTCTCAGCAGTGCTGTGTGTGTTCTCCAAGGGGCTTAGGCCACAATGAGGGTCTCATCCACAGAGGTGTGCAGACTCAGGAGGCAGGAGAGGGAGTGGCTCTCCGAGCCCAGCTCTCATTGACTAAGGGGCCCTGGACAGGCTTTGACCCTCAAAGTCAGATGGGAAGGGACAGAGGAGTGGGAAGGGTGCACCCTCCTACAGGGCCTAGTTATGAGCTCCCAGCTCTGCTCAGGATGAGCGGATTGACTTCAGACAGCCCTGGGTGCTGAATTTGCTCTCTGGGTGGCCTCCATTCCTTTCCTGACCTCTTGGACGGTTATTTGCCATTGGCACACAAACAGGGCCCCTCCTGGCTCCAGAGAGGACTGGGCCAATTCTAGAGCTGGCATGGCAGGAGCCTGGCAGAGCCGTGAGCAGCTGTAAGTGCCCCACAATGCATAAGTCCGCCCAGGAGAGTCTCAGTGGATGAGGGCAGCCAGCAGACCCCTCGGGGGGGTGGTGCTCAATAGGGAGGGATGATGGATAGGGGCCAGGAGAACTCTCTGGCTGGCCTCCCTCTACAGCTTCTTTGACTTAAGTTTGGAAGCCCTGGGTCATAAGAAAGTTTCCTGTTATTCTGAAGAGGATATGCATGAAAATGCAGGCATCATGTCCAGAATCAGCCTGGGAGGCTCCTGAGCACCACCTCTCCATGTCTTGGCATCCTCCCTGGCAGATGCCTAGACACAATCCCTGACCCACAGTCCCTGAGTGCAACTGTCAAGGGCAAAGAGCAAAGGCCTCCTTCCCCATGGGGAGCATCCCTGTGCCCCTGCTTACCTGGTCCCTAGGCTGACACCACATCAACGGCAGCTGATTGCAGCTTTGAACAAAGTCACACAAGGTATCCAGTTTGCCCTGAAAAGCAGAAGTGGCCATGAGGAGACTCTAGGCATGGTGGTCACCTCGAGAGGGGTAGAGTCCTCTCTGGCTTGAGATGGTCCCAGAGGGCTCTGTCCCCAGGAACACACTGAGACAGCACTGCAGCCTCTACCTGGGGCAGGGGCCTGGTGGCCTTGTGGTTTAAGGGCAGGAGTGTCACTGCAGATTGCTTTGGAATCTGGAACATGTCTTCCTCTCGATGTGCTGCCTGGGGCCTCCTCATCCCTGCCCTCACACCACCCTCTGCAGGGTTGGGAGCTCCCTCCCTGGGTGGGGCCCAGTGCATCCTGGGGTAAGGACATTTCCTTCAGGCCTCCTCCTCCATGAGGCCCTGGTCCCTCCATGTCACTGGGCCCCAAGGACAATGGAGTTAGCTCAGTCCCTCACTCTGCTGAGCGGACTCGTGCAAGGCTCGCAGGAGCCACGGGCGTTTCTGGATACTTGTAATAGTGAACAAAGCTTGCTCAGAATTTTCCTGTAGAAAATGTTGTTTCTGACCCACAGGAGCCTGCTTATGATTGAGCTTGTGTTTGCTCATGCACCTGCTGGCGGGTGAGACTGAAGCCATTGCTGGAGCCGCTGACAAGCTCTGAGAGAGCCCGGGACCGGCAGGCTGTAGCCAGCCGCCAGCTTCTGCAAACCTGGGCCTGTGCCAAGGGGGAGACCCTAGTGCTGGGCCCCGCATGGTGGTGGTGGCAGGAGCCCTCACTTTTTGTTCTCTCCTGGGCCCGGGGATCGGGATGCCCTCTGCTTTTTCTCTAGGGCCAAGGGATCAATGTCGCTTTCCATAAACGTCATCTCCCTGAATGCCACGGTTCATATGGTCCATGAACGGGCTGCTCCCTTTTCTTCCTCAGCCCAGCCTGGAGGTCACAGCACCCTCCCCAGTGCTCTTCTTACCTCGATATGTCTCACGTTGTCTTGCTGGTACCTACAACAAGGGACAATCACCATGTTGCATGTCTGTATACACGTCTCTGACTCCTAGGAAGAGAAAGCACAGCTTGCTTTTTTGTCTGGCAGCTCCTGGGCACAGACACATGACCTGTGCTGCTCCAGCACCTGTCAGCGGCCACTCAGGACAAGTGCACTGCTGCGAGATTTCGAGGACAAATGAGGAGCACCCTGCTCTGTGACAGTTTCTCCATGGGAAAAACAAGGAAACTCAATGTATTTGCAAATATGGCCTTCCCCCAAAAGGCTGACTAACTCTATCCTGTCCCTTTGGTCTCCTGGGGCTGCCTGTGGTAGAAAAGCCTGGTTTTAGGGCTGCGCAGTGTACAGGAGGGCTGTCCACGTGGGAGCATTTGCAGGGGACAGGGCTGCACTCACCTGACCCTGGCAGATCCATTCTCAGCAGGTAGCACTGCACCTAGTCCCTGCACAGCCCCGGGCAGTGAGGCCTGCTTCCCACCAGCCCTCAGGCTCATGTGCCCCTGTTCAGAACACTGTGTCCCCACTATAACTCCTTCTTCTGGGACCTGGCTTGGGCCCCCACCCTGGGGGATCCACAGCCTGCTCCCCTGACCCTGGCTCTCTGTGCTCACCTGGGCTGGGCCTGCCTCACAGCTCAATGCCAGGCAAGACACCCTCCAACATCCCCAACTCCAGCCAAGCCCCTGGCCCTGCCAGGGGACTGGGATGGAGATCAATGATATGTAGCCCAACATACATCAGAGCCTGAGCAGAGGACCAAATTTTGAAATCTAAGGCTCCCTTTCTAAAAGTTCACCTGAGTCTCTCAAACAGTCCTCTGGAAATTGACCCAAAGTCCCTATATTTTAATAAAGATCAGAGCACTTGCTGAAACAGGCTACCTCAAGTTGCTAATTCGGTGACAAAGCCCTGGATCAGCAGAGCTGCATACTTGGGAAGGGTGTTTTGAGTCCCAAGTCCTCCCGAGGCCCCTCTGTATTCCTTGGTACCCTCTTCTTTCTGCCTGCTCTCTCAGCCCAGCTAGTTGGGAGGTGTGGGGGAAAGGGGTACAAATATCCCATAGGCAGCAGGAGTCCTTTTGTGTGAAGTTCAATGTGGGCATCGGGCATGCTGACCACATCAGGACCAAAATCATGACTTACCCTTTCTATTTTCTCCACTGGTGGTGGCTCCTTGTCAGTCTAGAATGTTAAAGAGACATGAACACGGGCTAGAGTGGCATGGAGGTTGCAGGCTCCACCATGCAGACAGGAGGGGACCCTACTCAGCAGCAGCTGGACAGAACGTGAGCTTTGGGTGTCAATCTACCAGCCCACTGCCCATGGGTCTCTGCCCAACCAGCTGCACCACCCTGAGCCCCAGGCTCCTGGGTTATCAAAGGGGATCGGACCTCCCTGGAGGGTGCACTGGGAGACAGCCGGACTAGGCTGCCTGGTCCCCGGCAGAGGCACCCCAGCTGGTAGTGTTCATCAGCAGCCCTTCCATCACACGAAGACAGGAGAACTCACCCCACTTCCCCTCCTACCCCTTACCTCCCAAGTCCCCACAGCCCTCTCTGGCCCCTCCTGTGCGATGGCAGCGCCCCACCCCACCTTCTGTCCTCATAGCTCCCCCTCCGCAGCAATGGGACCTGCTTGTGTCCTGCAGCTTTGCTCTGTCCTTTCCTACCTCTGCCATCTCCTCTTCCTTCACCAGCTCTGGCCCGGGCCCTTGCAAACCCAGCAGCCAGTGCATCTGCCCTCCTGCCTCCCCCAAGGCC